TATATATATATATATATATATTATATATATATATGGATTAAATTCTTGGGTCCATTAATTATTTTCTAACATGTCCAAAATTCATAACCAACAAGACAGAAGTAGTAAATAAATTAGAGATTTATGTGACCATAGAACATATATATAAACAACTTTAATTATAGATAGGAAGGTGATTGTCAAAAATATATATACTTAAAAAGTGTGTGATAGTAGCATATATTTCTTTAATTATATGTCTTTGTATCAGTGGTTGCTTACACATAAGTGATTGGTTACGTCTTACAGCCGATTAAGCGTAAATATCCAATTTATGTTGATTTATGGTATTATGATATCTGACAGTATAATTTCGAGCTGGATTTGCAACTAATGAAAAGGTGGATAAAAATTTCTTTTCTATGTTGTGGCAAACCACGACCACCCCTTGTTATATTTTTGGTCGAAGTTTCCGTAGTCAGATGCATGTCATCTTTGCTTGTTTATTCTGCTAACTTTCATAAATGGGGTGGTGGTGTTGATGGATGGCAAGTCGTTCTTGGTTTTTAAGTTGAGTATGGGGGAAGATTATCTCGACAGAGATGTGCACTATAGTTATTGTGAATGGTTTTTCTTGTTTACTTTGTGATCAAGATCAATAATTAATTAACGAAATTGATGTAATCAGAAGTGAATTTCTAATAATATGCAAATTATGTGATCATCCGACATCGGATTAAAGGGAATTTCATATTATTTCTTGTTCTTGCTTAAAGAAAAAAAGTATTTGAATAAAAATCCAAATCCAAGGAGAAATAAAAATCATCTTGTGGCCATAGAGGTTCAAATGCGGTGACTTCGGACTATCTGCAAGCAGGTGGCCGCCCTGAGGTTAGTCAGCACGCATAGCAGGTTGGATATCGAGGTTAATAAAAAAAATATTTGAATTATTGATGTTATAAAGGGTTTAATTTGATGGGATGCTTGAACATAATCATCAACAAGAACTCAAAACCTTTGCTTAACATAAAGTTGATGGGAAGTGTTAATGGAGTATCAATAATTATTGTATTCAATCAATTTATAAAATAGTGATTAAAGTTGTGTTTTAATTTGCACATTTTTGGGAAAAATTGTATTAAATTGCAACAAAATATTAAGATTGTGTAACTTTTAAACCAAAATATATTTATTAACTTTAAATTTGTTTTTCTGGGATTTTTAAATTTAAAATGATTTTAATAATTAGAGAGCAAATACAACACAGTGACACACACACACACACACACACTCTATAATGCATTTGTCGGTTGCGTATTGATAAAAAGTTAGGTCATCAATAAATTAAAAAACATGATTGACAAATAAGACTAATTATTCGTAAACAAGTTTTACTTTAATCACAAAATTATAATTTAAAATAAGTAAATTGTATCTCGATTTCGAAGGTTTACATCAGCTAGACACGAATCATATGTCAAAGCTTTATATACATATATATATATATATATATGTATATATAGGGTTGGGTTCACGTGAGACCAAAGGTTTTTCGTGAGACCCATAAGACCAATTTATATTCATTGATCAACTTTATAAGTGAATGATCTAATGATT